AGGTTGGGTTGGAGTCCACAGTGCAGACCCAGGACAGTGATGGTGAGATTGAGTTAGAGTCCACAGCACTGACCGGAGACTGAGCATTTTTTGTTCTGCCTTCTCAGGGAGCAAAGGCACAGTAGCAGGGTTTCACTAGCTTGTCAGGGCTTGCTGTGCATTTCTCTTCAGACAGGAGGTGGATACCTCATCACTGTTCTGCGTAAGCTGGTGACTTCAGAAGAGCTCTTGGGATAAATCGTCTCAGAGGGGAACTTGTAGCTCACTTGCAGCACACTGACCTAGCATGCATGAGGCACTTAGTTCTGACCCCAGCGCTACCAAAAACTTCCCCAAAGCAAGTCCTCTCATCATGAACTACATGTTTCCTAACCTCATTTAAAGTAGATTAAATAGCAGTTTACTCTGTATACCCTAAAGTGATGTTTGAATATTGTCTTAAACAATGGCAGAACTTGAGGCTCTCAGATCTTGTTAGAAACTCAAAGAAAATGGAACTTAATCTATAGTAGCCGTCTAACCGGTGAGATGTGCTCCAGTTTGAAAACCAGCTGCAGAAGCCATCTGGGTCCTCACGCAGTATGACTTACTTGGCCTGGCAGTTAAGTGACAGGAGATTGCATTAGAATTGCCTGCTGTGTGGCATGTATGTATGTATGGACAGCCTACTGTCTCACAGAACGTCCCAGCCCCCTGGTTTTCCCTCTGCATGCAGTCAGTAGTATAATTTTTACCAAGTGAAGACACTGGCAAAATGTCCTGCAGTGGTTCTTTCATTGTTTCTTCTCCCACTGTGTCTAAGGACATCTTTGTTTATGTCTATTAAATGTGAGTTATTTTGTTCTGTATTAAAACATTGCTATTATGAAAGTGCTGCTAATGAGAACTTGTGCAGAATTTGAAGTTGGCATTTCAGTTAAAGTATGCAATGCTGTAGTCAGATTGCTGACTTACAGGTAGAATACTGAAGCATGATTCTGTCTTACAGACCATGTTTCTTAGTCCTTTGGAACTACTGATGTCATCTGAATTGTAGCTCTAAGGTAACTAGAAGATGGCTCCATTATTATTGTACATGCCATGGAAATACAGTGTGTGATGCTGGAAACCACTGTCTAGTCTGTAGGTCTTTTGAGCAGCACTGGTAACAATGTCTGATCGATATCAGTACATGTAGTCAATTCTCATCAACATGCCACGATTTGCCTAATAGTGGAGCTGTGTTGTTTAATTTCTTTAAAAAAGCAAACAGTGGAGTCATTTTACAAATGGCAGGTCAAAGGTTAAATAGCCTCTCTCAAATCATGTAGCTAGTCATTGGGTTTTGATTCCAAGCCTAAGTGCAGAGCCTATGCTGCCTCTTTTCTTGGCAGATAAAAGGTTGTACATTACGAAAGAGCATGGATTCAGGTGTTTACAAGCCTGTTCATGTTTTAGACAAGGTCAGTGGCCTCCATACTTGATTTTCTGTCTGGTCCCCTTGCTTTTGAACTAGACAAGTAAAACTTCATTCAAGGGGCAAAGGGTGTAGCTCAGTATTAAAGAACATTGTCTAGCATATACAAGGCCATGGGTTCAATCCCCATGCCAAAAAAGTAAGAAATTAGTAATAGGCATGTATGTGTGTGTACATACTTACGCATGTGTACAAGTACATCTTTGTTCACATGTTTCTGGGGGAATGGGAGTGAGCCCCAAGGCCTGACACATGGTGAGCATATATTCTACTACTCCCACGTCCTGTCCTCTAGAGAAACTTTGAGGAAAACTTGCAGCTTCTTCTGCAGCACCACTGTGTCACATTGGCTTGGTGTTCTACTGTATCTTAAGACATTCTGACTCCGCAAACCTTAGCAAAGCAGAGGAAAAGGCAGCTCTCAAAGAGCACCGTGAGCCTGGGGAGGAGTGCAGAGGCACACTGCATCTGACTTGATTCACCAGAGGGAGCTCCACAGTGAGCTCCCTAACAGGACTTAAGAGGAAGGGCAAGTGTGTTCTCAGCTGGCGTTTCCCTCCGCTTCACTTGTCTTGCCTTTCTTCTTTATTCACCTCTTCCTATAACTTAATTTTTCCACAGGCAAATATTTTACTAGACAGTATTTATCTACTTCCTGTGGTTAGGCCCTGAGCACGCATTCAGATATAGTCTCTTCCTTAAGCATCTTACCAGCTACAGTGGGAAACATTTATTGCTTTCATGTGTTGCATACGAGGCTTAGAATTTGCTAAAAGAGTAGCTCTTGTTATTGCTCCACATACACAAAGGAAACTCCATAAGGTCAGGGGTGTGCTAATCAGCCCAACTTTTTCTGGTAAATATATGTAGATATATAGTCACATATAAATTTACCCATTATCCCTCAGTAAAGCTGGAAAATCCCAACAGGTATAACAGACTTCGGGGAGGAGCACAGAGAGCGTTCTGAAGCTTGTGGGGAGGAGGAGCGTGAGAGCTGAGGAGAAGCTGGGCGGTGGCTGCGCACGCCTTTCATCCCAGCACTTGGGGATCAGAGGCAGGGTGGATGTCTATGAGTTTGAGGCCAGCCTGGTCGATTCAGTGACTTCCAGGATAGCCAAGGCTACACAGAGAAACCCTGTGTGTGTGTGGGGGGGGGGGGGGCAAAATATGAGGAGTAGTAAGTGTGCTGTGTGGTTTGGGAGTGTGGCTCTGTGGTAGAACATGTGGTTAGCATGCATGAGGCCCAGGTTAGAACAGATCCCAGAACCTCTTAAGTCATTAGCATTACATTACAGCTTCCATTCCCTAACGGCAGCTTTGCTGGTATCCAGTCCAAGCATCTGTCTAGTTTTCTCATACACATATCAAAGGTACGTCTGAGAGCATTCTTGAGCATACTTGAGGACTTCCAAGTGTATTAAGTTGAAAACCAGTAATGTCACCAAACCAAAACTTGAAAAACCCAGAGAGCCTAATGGGATTATTATAAAAGCTTGTATTAAGGAATCTACTGTGCAACTTATCTTACTGATCAAGCATCTCTGACATGTGAGCTAGCCAGGACAAATGGTTCTTCAGTCCTAACAGACAGACTGATATGCGGAGAGTAGCTTTCAAATGCCACACACTTTTTCAAGATTTATTTATTTAATTTATATGAGTATATGAGTACACTGTAGCTGTCTTCTGACACACCAGAAGAGGGCATCGGATCCCCTTACAGATGATTGTGAGCTGGGAATTGTACTCAGGACCTCTGGAAGAGCAGTCACTGTTCTTAACCACTGAGTCATCTCTCCAGCCCCTTCAAATGTCCCTTTAATGTATAAACTTAATTTATCACTTAATTTATTCCTGTTTTATAACCAGACTCCTTCCAATTACTTTGTTCACTAGTGACAATAATTAAATGATTAAATGATCTATTGGCTTTAAAATTATCCAGGTTAGGGTTAGTATGGGGCTGTGGAGATAAAACATGGTTGGTCAGAAGATGATTGTTGTCTGAATAATAGAGAATATACAGATCTTATTTTATGTGTTTTCTACTGTTACATATGCTTGAAATTTTTTAATAAAGACATCTGTGAGAAGCCAAAAAGTAAACATTATCTTGGTAGGGGGTACTATAGAATTATGTTCTAATTTTGTTCTAAAACCTGTTTGTTGGAGTCTATAGCTTTCATAAAGATTAATCTCCCTAACTACCTTCAGGGAGATAATCAGGTGCTCCCTGAGAGTCCTCTGCTTCTAACATGACAATGTGATCTGTAACCTATTTCCTCTGAAAAGATGCCCTATAGCTGGTGGTAACTACTGTGGAGAACTCCTTCCAATCAATACTGACAAATGGGGAAAAGTTGATATAAATAACAATATTTTTCTTTTTGAAATGGTCATCAATACTAAGAGCTTGTAGAACAGCCATTTAACAACTACAAGTGTGTGGCTTGGTCCCTGGAGACCAGGTTTCTTTTGATTAGTCAAGGTTGTGCTTAGACAGCAGTATAGCTTAAAAGCCCCCTAGGTAATTCCAGTGTGCAGAGCTGAGAGGCTATTTAGGGCTCTCTGAAGAACTTCTCATGCATGAGTAGAGAACTGCCCACTCCTATCCACCCACCCCTGACTTGGGCTATGTCTGTTACCACTCACCTGGCATAGCCCAGGGCAGGATCCACCCAGCAGGTTAAAAGACTCTGATCTGAACAGATATGAATTAAAATCCTCTTCAAATTACATATATGATGAATCAAGACTACTGTCCTAAACATGTATAAATTTTAAATAACGTGCCTAATACCCAGGGAGGCCAGAAGAGGGAATTGGACCCCTGGAACTGGAGATACAGATGGCTGTGAGCCACCTGACATGTGAATTAACCCAGGCCTCTGGAAGAGCAGCCCGTGTTTTCTACTCCTGAGCCATCCCTCCAGCCCCTTTTGTTTTTTTTTAATTATTAGTTAGACAATAGTAAATATATTTATTTAGCATATATAGTAGAAAAACTGTGGATCAGCAATATGAAAACAAGTGGAACTTTGCTATCTAGCTAATGTAACAGAAATACCATGAGATAAAAACACAGTCTCTGTGGCTTGAATGAGAAGGCCCCCATGGATGCATATGTCTGAGTACTTGGTCTCCGATAGAACTTTTTAGGGAGGATTAGGAGATGTGGCCTTGTTGGAGGATGTGTGTCAGTGGAGTGCGGGCTTGAGGTTGCAAAAGCCCAAGCCATTCCTAGTAAGTGGTCTATCTCCTGCTAAGGATCAGATGTAAGGTCTCAGCTACTGCTCTAGGGCCGTGCCATGCCTGCTGCTGCCATGCTCCCAGTCATGGTGGTCGTGCCTCTGCCTCTGAAGCTGTAAGCCCTGACAGACTTTTCTATAAGTTCCTTTGGTACTTAGTTTGCCTGCACTTTGTCAGGGCAATAGAAGGGTAACTAATACAGTCTTTCCTTGTGTTTCCCCAGTTCCTGGAATAGTGCTAAAGATTACACATGTGCTACATTGTTTTTCCTGAATGACAAAATGAACTTATAAAATATTAAATATATGTTTACTGAGAGGTTTACAAACAACAACAAAAACCAAAAACAGAATTTTAGGCCCGATGGTGCACACCTTTAATCCCAGTACTCAGAGGCAGAGGTGGGCCAGCCCAGGGCTACATAATGAGAAAATCTCTCTCTCTCTCTCTCTCTCTCTCTCTCTCTCTCTCTCTCTCTCACACACACACACACACACATACACACACACACAAGTCCAAGAGGTTGTACTGTTCTGTTTTGTCATTTTTATGTACATCCTTACCCTACTATTCAAGCTCTTTGTAGTTATGTGCTGGATTCCATTTTGTTTGCTACAAGACAGTGAACAAATGGGATGGCATGGTGCCTCATCCGTCCAAAGGGCTGTCTGCTGATTTTAGTGTAATGTACTGTGCAGAAGTCTCCATATCTTCCAAGAAGCTGAAAAGCAGAATGAGAAGCTTTGGTGTTAGATAGTCTGGTGGGGAAGACAACAAGGAGAGATGCATTTAAAGAAAGGGCTAATGGAAGGTCAGGAGCAAGCTGCTGTTGTCCGAGATCATCAGGGACAACAAGATGGCTCAGCAGTTGCTGTTGATATGAATCTGATCTCTAAACTCACATAAAGATGGAAGAAGGAACCAGCTCCACAGAGTTGTACTCTGACCTCCATACATGAGCCGTAGCACACAGACTCAACACATATCATAGGCACATGATAAAAACAAAAAGATTTAACTAAAAATAAAAACTAAAAGATACCTGAAAATGGGGCTGGAGATATGGCTCAGTGGTGACAAGCACTTGATGCCCCTCCAAGGGGTCTGGGTTCACTTGTGTGCGTGAGTGCGTACATGCATGTCATTTATATATCTTACATAGATATGAACATTTTATATTTGGAATTTATTGGAATGACTTACCACGTTGCAGCAGTTTTTGTTGTTATTGTTGTTTCAAGACAGGGTTTCTCTGTGCAGCCCTAGCTGTCCTGGAACTCACTCTATAGACCAAGTTGGCCTCAAACTCATAGAGATCCGCCTGCCTCTGTCACCCAAGTGCTGGGATTAAAGGCGTGCGCCACCACTCCTGAATTCAATTGGTGGCTCACTACTATCTGTAACTCCAGTCTCATGGGATCTGACACCCTCTTCTGGCCTCTGTGCCCACTGGGTGCAAATGGAGTACAGACACATATGCAGGAAAAACACCCATACATATAAAGTTAAAAACAAAACCTGAAAACAGGAGTTAGCCTGACGTAGTCATTGAGCATTTAGGGTGCTGATAAACCTAGGAAAGTATGGATGTCAGGAGGAAAGATCCATGGTCAGAGCCATGGAACTGTGTGTGGCACAGAGCAGCCTACCCCTGCCAGACAGGAGGGGTGTGTGTGCTCATGCTGGGTGTCTCAAGTAGACTGTCTGATACAGAAACTGGAATTCAGGAAAGAGGTCCAGACTAGAGCTGGAAGGTTTGAAAGTGTCAGCCCATAGTGGTCTTTGTGCTGTAAGACTGTGTGTAGAGACAAGGAGAAACTTGGGGCAAAAGCCCAGGTTGCTCAGGGTTACGAGGTTGGGAAGTGATACCACAGAGAGAGGCAGAAGCCCAGTGGAGACATCCATGGAGGGAGCGCTCTGCTCGGCTGTGTCAGAGCCAGCTAGTGGAGAAGGAAAGCAGACCTGCCAGTGTGTGCCGTTTGTACCCTTGATCTTTGCAGAAGCCTGTGAGGAAAAGTAGGGCTACTGACCCTTCTATACCAGCTCTTCGGAGAGTGGTTAGTTTTGTTTTTGAGACAAGGGCTTTATATGTAGCCCTCACTGAACTTGTAAAAGCTCTAAAGACCTGGCTAGCCTCAGACTCACAGAGCCCCTGTCTCTGCCTCTCCAGTGTTGGGATTAAAGTTGTGTGCTACCACTCCTGGCTTAAAGTTTTAAAATTAATACATATCAGAGTATATAACACTAGTGACAGAGCTGCACTAATGTCCACATTAGCTGACTGTTAGACTATACCTCCATTTTATACCTAGACTTTTTTGATTTTGAAAAAACCATTCTTTCTAAACTATAGAGAAAATCCATATTGATAAATTAGTCGATACTAAATTTCCTAAAATTTCATTCAGATGTTAAGAAAAGATAGCCATGAGATAATAAATCCAGAAATACTGATTTGAATGCCCATTGGTTACAAGTACTTGCTCTGGGCACTTGGAAGAAATCGGTGAAGAATGCTGCCTCTTGGACACATTAAATTATAATTCTTATCACAAACTAAAACTCTAAAGGTAAATCTTGATGTCTTTCAGATTATCAAATAGAAACATTATACACAAACCTGTGGAATGGACTCTAATCTCTGTGGTCTTGCTGTTACTGTAAGTACTCTTTCAGATTCTGACTGTAAATGAACAGTTTGGTTGAGGAAACAGTCCCTGGTTTGCACACCGCCTTGGAGAAGGCGGTTCTCACACTCTGTGCCTTATTATCCCGTTTTTATGCAGTAAGGTAGTTCCCGTATCAGGGGTCTGCTGCATTGTTTCCACATGAAGGGGTCTGCCGTATTTTGTTTCCACATGTGGAAATTTGAGAATGTGCCATATTTGAGAAGCTGTAATTGTTACTCTGAATCTCTACCATCTTAAGAAAATCCAGTTCTCATAAGTATTATTTCTCTTTTGTTGGAGATTTGTACAGTAGTCTTTTACGTTTCCTTGTTAACATCTGTTCTATTAAGACTGAATGAGCTTCATTGTCTTGTATCTGTTTTTATGTATATTTCATTTTGGGCATAGTTTATGTTTAATAGTAGTAGGTAAGTCTTATTTTCTAAATGTGCATTTTAAAATTAACAGGTTTAAAGGAGGTAAGTAGACACTCTCCCAGTACACATAAAACATTTGAAGCTCACTCATCTTCTAAGAGACCACTGGTGGCTTCTAAGGCTATTTTTCAAAAGGGTTACAGCCATTTATTAGGTGTAGTATTTTTCAGCTTGAATTGGGAAATCTTTTGAGGCCCATTCATTGCTGCTGCTGCTGCTGCTGCTGTTGATGTTGGCATTGGTTGGGCCATTGAAGCCCACAGGCAATGGAAACTTAGAGATGCTCACTGGCAGTCATGCTCAGGATGCAGTCTTCAGCCCTGCTTGCTCTTTCTTTGATATTACTTTAGACTGACATGTGCCTTCCCTGTCCCAAGAAAAGCTGTGTGAGAAGGATTAGCTTAGGCTTCAGTGAGCCGGAATCTGTGTCACCCGAATAGATACAACTCACATGATTCATTAAATCAGAACACAGAAAATAACTTTACTTGAATGCTCTGATATAAATTTTTAATCAACCCTAAGAACAAATCTTTTGTTATTTCCACTATTCAGTGTTCCAGTTGAATTGGCAGTTCATAAAAAATATATTATTAATTTTTAAAAGGTTTTCTACTTTATGAAATGTGTAAATATTTTGGTCATTGGCAGAGAAAATATCAATCATTATGCTTACCCACAGTATCATATACCTGGTAATAAATGCTCATAGAAAACTATCTAACTGTACTTCTATTTTATAAATAGATTTTTATAATCTATTACACTAAACAGGAAGCAGTGTTTAGTTTAACATGTTAGAGGCATGAGCAGTGATCTCAGAATCTTGATTCTGCAGCTGAAGGCATGCGAGGCCCTTTACTTTTTGTATTAAACTACTGCCACATCTCCAAAATGTCTAGCAGTTAGAAGAGTGAGCTGGGTAGTGGTGCCTCACACCTTTAATCCCAGCACTCAGGATGCAGAGGCAGGTGGTCTACAGAATGAGTTCCAAGAAAGCCAGGGCCACACAAGAGAAGCCCTGTCCGGGGGGTGGGGGGGCAGTATTGAGAAACACAATAGTAAAATGTAGTATTAAAATTCGTGCAGTTATTCCCTGTGAAAACAAAACTCTGGACTGGGAAATGCTTCAGTCATCAGAATGAGTGCTAAGCAAGCATAAGGACCTAAGCTTGTGACCACATAAAAGCCAGGTGTGGCTATGTGCATGTCACTCCGGTATGTGAACAGGAGACAAGGAGACCCCAGAAGCTCATTGGTGAACCAGCTGACCTGAATTGATGAGCTCAGTTGATTAAGTGGAGAGCATTTGAGGAAGTTACCCAAAACCAACCTTTGACGTGTGTGTATATATACATACATATATAACATACATACATACATCCAAACAAGAATATACACTATAAATATACACACAAAAATATTTTATAACCTACATTTTTTTTTAAAAAGCCTATGTTTGGTTTTAATATAGATACTATTTAACAAAAGATACTGACACTATTAGCAAGTGCTTTAGAAAACCTATGTTTGGTTTTAATATAGATACCATTTAACAAAAGATACTTAACACTATTAGCTAGGTGTTTTTGTTTTTGTTTTTTCACCATTTGACTTCTGGGTTTAGGTCTAACAACTCTTTGGAAAAGTAAGTCACGGGATTTAGTTGTATGCTTTTTATCTGTATTAGTTTCTCTTGTACAATCTTAAAATTGTAGCTGTGAGAACTACTCTGTGTCCTCTGTCATTCGTATGCCCTGACCCTACAGGGAGATCCAGCCTTCCCAGCCACTGAGCCTTTTGATTCGTAGACAGCTTAGTCATTTCTGGAGTAAGTAAGTCCTTTGGCTTTGAAAATCTTTGGTCACTGTAGATCCCATTTACAAAGTACTTGGGAGGCTTTTGTCCTTGAAATCCTGTGTCTTTGCCACAGGATCTCCTTAACAGTTCTAATCAGTCAGTTTGCACACTGTGTAGCTTCAGGTTTCAGGTATCCCTCTTTACCCTTTATCATTAACTCCTAAGACTTCTATCTCAGTACATATTATTTCATTTATTTCTTTTTTTAGAAAGCCCCCTTTGGCCCTTCAAACCTATTGCTTAGCTGTTGGCCCCTTTCATCCACAACTCCATCCTTCTCAAATAACTACTACTAAGCATGTTAGGGATAGAACTTAAATATTTTACATTTAGAATTTTAAATATTAAATAAAATTTTAAATATTTAAAGCAAATCCCACTCACTTCTATTGGGTATAATTATATTTGGTATACAATCTCACCTTCTTTCTGTATCCAGTTTAACAAAGATAGCATTACCCTTGACATGATGGTCATTGTTAGACAGAGAACCTCCCATGGAAAGTCTAGATGCCCAAAGATATGCTGAGCTAGAGCCAAGGGGAATCAGCACAAATCTGTGTAAATGACCTTCCTGCTGTTAGGTTATTGCCACTAAACTGGGTGGAGGCGTGAAAGTCTCTCCTGGGAACTCTTCAGAGACCGTCACAGAAACAGATTTTCAAGGAGGGTTACTCAGAACCTGTAGGCATTTCTAAAACACATATTCAAACCAAACATAATTCTGTAGAGCAATTGTGGTTACTGAGAAAGTAACAACAGCCTTAAGAGCACCACAGAAGTGCAGAATCCTGAAACCAGCTGGAGAGGGTTCTTTTGACAAGCACACTCATCCATAGCAACAGAAAATGCCAGGCCTCAAGTTTTCACAGCAGTATTGAAAAGTGTAAACACTTCTATAGAAAATCATCTTCTTTCCTTTCTTCATAATTCCCCTCTTAACGAATGACAGACTCCTTCTGCATGCTTGCAGTACAGAGTCTAAGAAGATGTCATAGGTCAGCCCTCAGCCAACCCCCCACTCCTTTCTTCTTCCTTCACCTTTTGTTTTCTTGAATTGTACCATTGTCATTAAAGTCATTTTAGTCTGTAACTAGACCATAACTGTAACTGTCATTCTCATTTGTAACACAAAATAGGACTATGCCATGCTGAAGAGAAATCTAGGGAAAGGTCCTAACCAAAACTGGCAGCCAAGGAAAAGGCACACACAGCAGTCTAACAGGCTGAGTCCCATGTGCGCAGCCCACATTGCCAGGAATGGGGATCAAGTTCCCTCAGCTGAAAATGTGTTCTTGGAACTTTGGCTGTCCAGTGGAGGAGATGAGTATTCAGTCTGTATCACTTAAAGAAGATAAAGCAGAGGGTGCCTTCTGCTAGTCATAACATAGACACATGCTGCTCCTACGTGGATGCTCGTGGTGTTCTCTAATGGAAAGCTTTCAAGGCCATGTCTAAAGTGTCTGCTTTCATTTTACTTATCTGAACTGGCTGTTTCCAGTGAACTGTGGCCTGTTTGTAGTCAGGGACCATGCAATAGTTTATTCCCTCTAAAAGCTTTGGGCATTCCCATCGTTCAGGGATTAACAAGTAAGTCCTGGGAAATGGTATTTTAAACAAACTCAGCTTGACCGTGGTCTCTGGACAAGAGCCATCAGGATGCACACAGTCACTTTGAGGAGTGGCACTCTGGAGAGTCCCCTCCCTGGGCTCCTGGGCATGGATGGAAAGCCAAGACTAAAGCTTTTACCCTCTCCCAACTGTGCTTTAAAGCCTACCTATCTCTTCATTTCCTCGTAAAGATCTATGAACATACCTTAAAGAACAAATAGATAGTTCTTAAGAGTATTCCTGAGTCCCACATCTCTCTTACCATTCCAAATCAAGTTTGGTTTTTGGAAGTATTTTTTTGCATTTTATAATTATGGAATATTTATAACTGATTTTTCTTGAGAGAAAATTCTCATTTTAATGTATAGACAGTTCTGGATTTTAGTATATTTGCTGTATTATACAGTAGTCCATACTATCTAATAACAGAATGATTTTGTCACCCCAAAAAGAAACCTCGTCTGAGTTCAGCCTTGATTTCTCCTCTGACAACCACTTACAACCCTGTGGGATGACCATTTATTTGTTTACCTGTTCTAAATATTTAAATCAGTGAAATCATGTAAGATATATCTGTTTATGTTTGGCTTGTTTCATTTAACATGTTTTTAGAGTTTTTGTCCATGTCACAGCATGTAACAGTACTTTTTTTTATGACCATATAATATTTCTTGCTGCGGATATACACACATTTACTCAGTACTCAGTTGCTAGGTGAGAGCTATTTCAGTTATTTCTGCTCTGAGGCTAGTTTGTGCAGTGGTGTCATGAACATCCATGGGCATGTTCTTGTGTGGCATGTTTTTAGTTTAGTTGTATTGTAAACACTGATGATGAATTGCTGGGTTATGATTAACCTTTCGAGAAACTGCCAAGCTGTTTCCTGCAGCAGCTGCACCGTTTCACACAGTCACTGGTGGCGTCTAGGCTCCAGAGACTAACTAAACTCAGGCCTTATCTCATCCTCACATCCAGGCGTCACTGCAGGTGCTCATGTGTGCTCCACAGCCAGGCTGTCATATGCTTGTCCTCAGCGAATGATGCTGTGTGGGGAAGTTACAGAGAATCTTGAGGAGTTGTAGCTAGCTGAAAGGTTGGTAGGCAGAAAGATCCTGGGGGATGTCCTTCCCAATACGCTTGTGTCTCCTGCTTCCCAGCCCCCAGGCTGTGAACTCTACTGCTCTGCCGTGCCCTCTCTGCCGTGTCCTCTGAACCATACTGGAATTAGCTCTCTAAAACTCTGAGACAAAGTTATAATTCCTCCATCTAATTGTTTGTCAGGAATTTTTGTAACAACTGTGTAGAAGTAAATAACACAAAATATTGATACCAAGAGGTGGTATTGTTGCTGTTACGATGATGTGAGCGAAGGTTAATAAACATTTATGATGTCATTCAGAAGACCAAGACACCAACCAGAGTGTAGACAGTAGAGGCCAGACTGACGAGGGCTCAGAAGGGAGCTGAACTAAAGGCCATGTTTATTATGTCCTGGCAAAGAATTTACCTACATTTGCATTGAGTCTGTGTTCGGCGCTGAATTGAAAAATGATGGACTAATGTGATGGGGGAAATTGTAAAACAGTGTGATGATGTCACATAGCTATTGGCGGTTGTTTCTAGCCAAGCTTAACAGTAAGGATCAGGAGCAAGAGGCTTGGGAACAGAAGGATTTTTTAAAAAACAAAAAACGAACAAACAAACAAAAAACAGTGCAGTCTAGCCAGGAAAGGAGTAAGGTAGAAGGTTTTCATGAGTTTAACACTGTGAAAAAGTAGCCAGGCACTCTCAAGACAGAGAGAAAAGATGCCTTTAGGGCACCTCAGGAATTAACCAACCCTCACCCATTGGCAGGCTCCAGAGTATAAATTTCTTTTAGGAAGAAAGCTACCAGGTGTCATAATAGTACAGTCTAGGAAAGTGTTTTTCCAGGTTGAACCATGCAACCACTGAGACTGCAGCATCCTTGATTCAGAGGGACTTGGCTACTGCTTGAGCTCATGGGACATCTTCCTGCTGGTCTCACAGGCATTCAGGATGCAAATATTTTGAGGTTTTGGACATTAAGTTTTCAAAAGAAGGCATAGGCGACTAAGCATGCCTTCCCAGATTCTCTACAAGAAGCCCCTAAGAGGGCAATACTTGCAACTGTGAGGCTGAGACCTCAGACACAGTGGAGTCCCCAGAATGTCCTGTGTCCCTTTGGCTCACCATCAGATGGCAACCTTTATTAGTGACATGAGACACAGTCAAGGGTCAGAGTGGACAGCTACCAGAAGGCCCCAGTGTATCCGGTTGTATGCAGTTGTCCATTATACCCATTGTATATGCGTTTGAATAGACTTCTCACTATTTCCTGCCATCTCTGGAGAGGCAGCTTTCCAGGAGGCCTTTTCCTGGGTAGGTAACTGACAAATTTGCTTAGATTAACTTGTGTCCTTGTTCTTTACCAGAAGTCTCCCTTAAGTAATAGTCTTAGGCTCTTTGGGAGTGCCTAGGGCCAGATATACAACATAGATGCCATTATTTTGAGCAGACCAGATTAAAAAGGATTTTAAAATAACAAATCTATAAAAATCTATAAAATAGCTTTATTTTACCAGGAGAAAATAGCCTTTCTCTGATGTCGCCCTCCACTCTGCCATCTGTCTAATCTGTAGCTGTCCTTTCAGTTAGTGTTTTCAACTTTAAGAAAGGCCAACTGTGATCCATCCCCTTCCTGTGCTCACCGACTGTTCCCCTTCCACAAATTAGTGTGTTCCCAAGACACAGGAGGTGGGACATGAAACATTGTGAGTTTTGATACTGCTATCCCATGAGAGAGCATCTGGCCAGGGAAACTTTGGGCAGCAATTGTGGGTGACCCTGCATTGGGCTGGCCAAGCTTGCTATAGTTCACAGACCCCTGTCACATACCCAGATGCTGGACGCGGAGCTGTAGGACTTCATGTTTGTCCTCCTGGGCTTTAGTCTTGCTTTGACCCAGTTCCTCCTTTCTGTAGACCATTTCTCTTGTGGAATGAGAAGTCTGCCCTGGGCTGTTGGATGTTGGATGTACGGGACATTTTTTATTCTAGAGGGGTTCACAATTAAAGAGTGTGCTAGCTGTCTCCTGTTTCTGCTCCCCATCTTGAGGAGAAGTGCTGGGATTAGAGATTCACACTCCTGCATGGCTTTTCACATGGTTCCAGGATCTGACTCTCGCCATCAGACTTTCAGAGACCACTTTTACCTGCTCAGCCATTTCCTTAACCTAGAACCCAGATAATTTCAAAAGGAATAACACTTTAAATTTCTAATCAAAGCCTACTTTCTACAAAGATTTTTTTTCCTTAAAATTTCCTACATCTCCAACAAATTTATAATTTAGTTTTTTATTCACCCATAAATTGCAGAGGGTCCCCAAACCTGCTCCCTTAATCCATGTTGAAAATTACCGGTGTGTGAGGCCCTGTGTTCCCTCCCTGGCAATACACACGCACACACACACACACACACACACACACACACACGCTCAAGCGGGGAGTCTCCAGATTCCCAGACTCCAGCAGCTTTGAGGATGACAGGAGTTAATAGCAGTTGGCACTTACCAATCACAGCTTCGGTTTTACTAGCCAGTCCCTAGTTTTCCTAAAGCATCTGCCTGTCTGAACAAGCTCCCTGAGGTTACTGGTAGTATTGCCCCAGCCTTGGGGATCACCACTACAGGAGTATAGTGATTACTGTGTGGGGCTTGATCCCACTTTAATCACACACTGAGGAGGAGAAAGCTGGAACTGGCGATCTGAGCGCATTGCCCAGCAGCAGGAATTAGGAAGAAAAGCTGTCTGGTGCTCATCTACAGCTGCTTTATAGACCTGCTACAAACAGGATTTAGATATAAAGTTTAAAGTTACTCTGCCCCAACCCCTTAAACAAACACACATGAAATATATCACTCCACAGTGATTTACAAAGGACTTGTTTCTTTTCTATTAGAAATATCAGTGGGAAGCGTCCTGGCTTCCTTATTAATAGGTAATCCTAAACCCTTAAACGCAAACATCATCAGGGCATGAGCCATCTGTTAGAAGAAAAACATTGTATTTTATTTGGCTGCAATGGTCTTCTGTAATCAAAGTCTTTATCTCCATTTTCCAGATAAAGCTCTGAAGTGAAGGCCCATGATGGCATGCCCCTGGCATGCTCTCTCATCTGTCCTCTCTGATCTCTTCCAACACCATCGCACTGCTGGCCTTACCTACCTATTAGTTTCTTATTTTGGTGACTGTCTTTTTACCTAAAGTAAATTTTGTTTTGTGTTTTGGGATCCTCTCACTCCATGACCCAGGCAGCCATGCTGCCCACAGCTGACAGCAGTCAGCTGCCTCAAGTCTTCCAGGTCTAGGATTACAAGAGTGTACCACTACAGCCAGCTTACCTAAGACAGAGTTAATAGAACTCTTATGTGTGTAACTACCTTCTAACAAGCCCTATTTCACTAAATGTAAATCCACTGCCCTAGAGACAACACTTGTCTTGAAGCTCTAACCTCAGCTTCACAAATATTCACATTTTGGAAGTGTGAGGAGTTAGACTGAATTCAGATTTTGCTGAAGCAGCACTTGTTTCTAATGAGACAGTCTTAGCAGCTCCTGGTGCCAGCCCTGATGTTCAGCTGAAGCAGGAGAGTGAGGGGTGCTGAAGGATGGTGAGAGCTCTGTGGGGTCACTGGAGGCATCTATGAGAGTAAAGCCACATTCTGAAAAGATGGCTCTCTGCCCCTTTGTCCCTTCGCCTAGCGCATTTCCAATCTCTCTCCCACACTTCTCTCTTTGACTTGAAGTCAGTGTTCCTTGGTAAAGGTTTCCTCAGATCTTAATTTCAAAAATGAAGAACTAGGGCTAGTGGAGTTGAAAGTTGGTCTTGTGTATACAAAGCTGGGTTTGGGTTTAGTATACACACGCATACACACACACTAAATTAAAATAAAAATTAGATAAACTGTATTTCTGCTTCCAAATACTATTTCACTCTTACTTCTTTAGTTGTTCCACTTCATTCTCCTCCTGCCCCAGATCAGTGATTTGCCCTGGGAAAACTAAGACACAATCTGAAACAGGTGTCCTATGCAACTGTGTCTAACCCTGGTGTCTCTTCTCTCACATTTCTGATCTTTGCCTCTCATGCCCTTCTGTTTCCAATGGCCTGGTAGTCCATCTATGAGATGTAAACATATAGTTCATCCTTGTGAAAAATTGTGTGTGTGTGTGTGTGTGTGTGTGTGTACACAAGTCTTTGTAAAAATAAGAGACTTTCTAATTTATCCACATACTATGTTTGGACAATATGTAAATGGTCCTAAATCAGGAAAAACTATCTAGAGTCAGTGCAGTGATTTGAAACAGTATTCTTACAAAACAAAACCTCTGCTCAGTGGAGCTGCTGTGTAGGTTGCTACTGTCTCATATCCTGATGCCACACACAACCCCCCAACTGTAACTCAGGGACTATTCCCTGAATTAAGTCAGTGAATGAATGGAGCGCTTGAGAGTTGTAGGATCTCCACACCATAGATTGGCCCAGACATGCCCCACCCCAAACAATAAATACATCAATAAATTTATAATTTAAAAACTAAAAACACATCGTCATCCATCTAAGGTTTTTAAAATTTAATCACCTATGTCATAAATTGCTGAGTGGTGGGGGCATATCTTTGCTGAGGCATTCTTGTGAAGGTCAGGCAAGACCTTGCAGGAGTCAGGTCTCTCCCTTCACTGCGTGGGTCCCAGGGATTGAACTTGGGTTGACAGGCACTTTTATGACACCAGTCCATCTCTCCAGCCCTATTTTTTTCAGGTGTATGATTACAAAATAAGTGAACATACTTCTAGAGAAAGAACAGTTTATTTGTTTTTATACAGTCCAAGCTGTCCTCAATCTTGAGTCTACTGCCTTGCTCTCCCAATTACAGATGTGTGCCCACCACACTTAGCCTTTGATAAATTCTTTAAATTCAGTAGTAGACACTAATAGCTACAACATTCAAAGAACTGTCCAGCTCAGTGGTGGTGGCACATGCCTACAATCAACAACACTTAGAAGGCAGACACAGGATGACTGGCACGAGGGTATTTATCAGATATTAATAGGCCCTGATAGAAATGCTCACTTTAGCACAAAAGTTTCCTTTAGTTTGTATAAAATCCATTTATTCATTTGTCTTGCAAATTTAAATGAAGCTATTAGAAGAAAAATTATTATTCCCAAATATATGGAGGGCTTGGCAAAATTTTTCCTTTGTTAACTTTATACATGTTTTTTTTGTGCATTACTTCATCCTGATCATTATAGTTAACAGCAAAATCTTGCTGTTCTTGGAGCTGAAATTCAAATACTTCCATTCTATTCCTTTTTTTATATAGTCACAGAATTCTAGAGCATATAAGAGTCAAAGGGAAAAAACAAAGTTTAGAATCCTTTACTTTTCTCTCTTCTTAGAGCATCTCAGTCTAGTCTATCCTAAATGCGAGCTTGGGAGTTGACTGCTACCATTTGGAATGGTTCATGCTATAAAAGATCAAGTTCAGACTGTTTAGTACTGGAAATGCAGCAGAAGCATGTACCCGCACGGACACACTAAATAAATACATTTATCCTAAAAGACAGCACAGGAGAGATTTAACAGTAACGGCTTTAGAAAGAGGTTAGTTTTATTAACTCAGGTAAGGACGTGGGTGAGGAGCCATTAACAATTAATAGTTGAATCGAGGGAAGGATATTAGGGCAGGATAGTTGTAAAGACAGACAAAGCATGGGACGTGAGCAGATGAAGAGCTTGGGTGGGAACAGCATAGCTGTTCTTGTCAGGCAGACAGTAGTGAGGGACAGCGGTGTGGTTACAGAGATTAGGATTCTCAGTGGTGTGGGACCATAGACAGTCCTTTAAGGGGATGGAGGTTGAGTCTGGATGAAAAATAGTAACAGTGGTCCTCAATGCAGACAAGGAAGGAGCTGACAAAGAGCCACAGAAGACTGACGTGCTATTCTGATGAGGCCAGAGATCATGGCTTTGTAGTGTGCTATCAGCCAGAGGCGCTTTCTCCCCCACCTCCCTCCTAACCCTGCCCTAGGAGTTTACAGTCACCTGTGGAAAAAGCAGCATTGATCTTGGATTGGAGTTTTGCTGGGCATAGCTAAGATAAGGGGACAAAGACTCAGAAAGTAATAGCAAGACATTGGTTTCCGAAGGAGACCAAGAAGCTGGGGGAGATGACTCTGTGGGTAAAAGCACTTGTGTGCAAGCATTCGGACCTGAGTAGTTTGAATCTCCAGCACCTATGTAAAAAGCTGGATTTAAGTGTGTCTGTAATGCCAGTGTTCCTGCAAGGATATGAGAGGTGGCAAGAGGATTTCTGGAGGCTCACAGGCCAGCATCCTTGGTGACGCCGCCTCAGAACAAGATGCGAAGTGGACCAACACCTGGGGTACATGAGCACTGCATTCACACACTCACTGTACATGCACAAAGAAGTTACAGCAAATATATCTGTAAAGGATGTTGGAGTTACTTCAGGAACAGAATGGATCTCCTCAACCAAGTACTTCATGCGACCTCATCCCAAAATTGTTTCTCCCACTCTGATGTCTCCCCCAGAAAATGGATGAGATTCTTTTTGTTAGTCATCTCTTTGAATATCCCTTAAGCATGTCATGACTCAAAATAAGATCAAACACATCTTCCCTTTCAGATGAGCCCTATTTATTTTGTTTCTACCTAATCATCCAACATTGAAAACTTAGTTGTCAGCTAGGCACAGCGAAGAGCTAGAGAGGCTGGGACAGGAGGATTGCTAAGAGTTCAAAGCCAACCAAAGACTATAAGCCATTCTAATAAGTTCCCTTTGTTTATTGATGGATGGATGAATGGATAGATGGATGTATTGGATGGACAGACAGACAGATGGATAGATTCATTCTTTAAGTTCTATTTCTCTGAGGAGCCCTGCCTAACACACTTGCCCTTTACTTCCCATATCTGATTAATCTGACTTTGTTTTATTTTGTTTTGTTTTAAGTCAGCATCTCACTCTATAGCCCTGGCTGGTGTGGAACTTGCTGAATAGACCAAGCTGGCCTCAAACTCAGAAAGCCACTGTCTCTGCCTCCCAAGTGCTGGGATTAAAGTGCACTACCACACCCAGCTATAGTCTGTTTTGTGTGATTCCTACTGTGAGTAAAGTGCATCAGCCGCGACTGCCTTCCTGAAGAACGTGAGCTGCTGGCCATGTGTCTCATCCATCTTCCCGCTATTACAGTCTCCTCATTGACGTTTAACCCTGATCGGGATACAGGGGATTTTTTATTCTTTATTCTTTTTTATTTTATCTATCTATATGTATATGTATGTCTGTGTGCCTGGACACATGCGTTTGAGTGCCCATTAAGGCCAGACGAAAGCATTAGAACCCCTGGAGCTGAAATTACAGGCGGCTGTAAGGAGCCCAATGTGGGTGCTGGGACCAGAACTCAGGGCGCTGGAAGAACAAGCTGCACATGCTCTTAACTACTGAACTATGTCCTGCACAGGGAAGTAAAACAAACAGAAAACAACCACCACCTAGGCAGAGACTGCTCTGCCTGCCATGCAGAGACCAAGCAGTGACTGTGGGCCCAGGCCTCAACAAAACACTGCACCATCCCTCTAAGGCTCAGGGAATAGTGTAGAGGAAGTACAGGAAGGATGTAAAGCCATAAGTTAGGGTGAAGACCTGCAGAATGCTGCTCTCTGGATACAACCGTTGTGATCATTAATACACAACAATTTAGTTACCCGCACTGGGTCCACACAAGGACCAGCCCTGTCAATAGTCAGACATGGAAATAGGAGCGGTTCACAGGGCTCACTCTTTTACTTCTGAACCACTGAGCACTCTCAGGCTCCTGGAGACGAGAGATCTCTGTCTTTAAGTTGTGTACCTTGTACTGAGCCCAGGAGGCTCCAACAGATAACTCCACGCCCATCATCACACAGATGGCCCAAGTTAATCAAACTCAGAGAATCACAAAACAGAGTGACTAGGCATGAACATGAGAGAGGGTATGAGAAAAAAGGAGGTGGGGGTAAGAGTGGTCAGCATATATACACTGTATATACACAAAATTGCCTAAGAACAAATTAATTTGTTTAGATATCTAGTGACTTCCCAGCCAGGTAAACTGTGATGTGGCCTCATCTCATCGTCTTGTGTTTCCCTTCCTCACGTCACTGATCTCAAGCATCGGGGGCTCTATGGCTGACACTTGACTGTACATTTCTGACATGCACTGACAGCTCTTGTTCAGGGTCACAACCTTTGCCTCCCGTGTTTAGTCGCCTGTGAATACGACCTGTAAAAGGATTCCCTTTACTTTTCAGTTTCTCTCAGTAGCTATTGAACAGCTAGACTGTGGTAGCACTTAGCCCACAGCTTCAACTCGGTTGCGTGTAACCACTAATTCAATTCAGAATTAATTCAAATCAGTATTTGCCTAGAGTTCTGGGACATGAACCTGAGAGTTCAAAGACAGCCCAGGCAATACCACAGATCCAGTTAAAAACAATTAGGGGAACTTTGAATTAGTGTTTCTTTATCCTGGCTGCCATTAGAATCACATTAGGAACTTTAAAAAATACATTTACTAATGACTGATACACAAATTTTGATTTGTTGGTCTTTGCCTGAACAGAAATTTTGTTTTTCATTTCCTAAGGGGCTAATTGTACACAAAGAACCAAGAATCGTTGTCTTAACTCAGGTTTATTGGGGTGCTGAATAGAAATGTTGTGCCAGGGAGAGTTCTTGAACCCCAAAAGTCCACCAAGGAGCCGATTCCAATGCAATCGAATTAGGGTCTCTATTCAAGCTCCAGTGTGGGCCACGCCATTGTCTCTAACATAGCAGAATGGGAGGGGACAGCCCTAAGCTTAGTTTCAGACAGGCATTTATAGAGATAAGAAGGGGGTATCTGATTGGGGGGTCATTGTGTCCTTTAACATAATTGGCTGGTGTTGAGAGCCAAACCATAAACTTAACCTCAGCTCTTTTCCTGATTGGTGGTGGTTAGGAAGTGAAGTATCAGAGGCAGGCTTATAATCTAGGGGGTGGGGTGTAGATTTGTTGAAGAATAATCTGGAAACTGGTGCTAGACGCAGATCTTGTTGGGGTACCTCAACCTGGGAACTGGTGTTAGGTACTGGCCTGTTAG